AGAATCAAGACATTTTTCATTCATTATAATAATTTTAAAATTCTTAAAATACCATTTTAAGAAATTGGCAGTTTTAAAATAATTAGACTTCTTGGTATAATTTTTTTTAGGTTGACTATTTAAAAAGTGTCAATTCTTTTATCATGGATGTTTGATATATAATTAATTTTATGAAAAATATGCAAACAATTAGCTCCTATATGTGTTTTCTTTAAAAATAAAATAATTTTATTTGTATTATTTTATTAATATTTTAATTATTTATTTAATAATTATTAATAATATTTACAAATAAAATAATTTTATTTATTTGTTCGAAAACGACCAAAAACAATTTACATAGACACTTTCAGATTAAGAATAAAACACACCTTTAAAAATCCAGCAAATAAATATTAATAAAATAAAAGTTTTTCACCATTTTTTAATGAACTTCCTCAGTTAACATAAAAATAGAACACCAAAATAGAATGTAAATATGAAAATATAAATAACGAAAAACATAGTTGTGGTCAATAAAATAAACAAACACAAATAATATAAATTAAGTTGAAAATGTCACTTAACAAAATAAAATAAAACTAAAATAAAAATGTCTCTTAATAACATTAATTTTCGTAAAAGGACCACCACGCAGTAGCTAATGCATCCGTATCCCTATGGTTGATGCAACCAGTTCTCTTGTGCACTTTAAAGATCTCCAACTTTTCAAGATATTTCATAGTGTGTAAATTCATTGTTGGTTTAATTATTGCTGCTTGATCTCAATGGACTTGAATGTCTTGTTGTCTTGAGTAAGCTGACAGCATGCTGTTGTCTAGGTCAGCGGTCGGCAGCCTATGCCACACATGCCACCTAGTGGCATGTGAAAGAATTTTGAGTGGCACACCAATTATGCATAAAGTTAAAAACTTCAAACTATGAACCAAATATTGATGTGTTAGCTTCTAAAATTGAACCACAAGGGAGTCACTAATGTTTAAATATTGTAATTTTTTTATAATATTTTTATATAGTGTGTATTTTATAGTTAAATAAAAATGTGTTAATGTGCAATAAATTTTATAATTTTATTTTAGTGGCACATGTAGTGTCCAGTATTTTCAATTACATGTTTTATGGCACGCCAATGCATTTGAGTTGCCGACTGCTGGTCTAGGTTTTGATTCTGATCTTGTATATGTGGGCGCCACGATGTGCAACTTGCAGCAACGTCTCAAGGAGCATAAATATATGATTAATAAGAACCTAGACAACACCATGCTATCAGCTTACTCAAGACAACAAGACATTCAAGTCCATTGAGATCAAGCAGCAATAATTAAACCAACAATGAATTTACACACTATGAAATATCTTGAAAAGTTGGAGATCTTTAAAGTGCACAAGAGAACTGGTTGCATCAACCATAGGGATACGGATGCATTAGCTACTGCGTGGTGGTCCTTTTACGAAAATTAATGTTATTAAGAGACATTTTTATTTTAGTTTTATTTTATTTTGTTAAGTGACATTTTCAACTTAATTTATATTATTTGTGTTTGTTTATTTTATCGACCACAACTATGTTCTTCGTTATTTATATTTTCATATTTACATTCTATTTTTATGTTAACCGAGGAAGATCGTTAAAAAATGGTTGAAAACATTTTTATTTTATTAATACAGTATTTATTTGCTGGATTTTTAAAGATGTATTTTATTCTTAGTTTGTTATCCAGTATGTACATTACATTTAAGTACACTTTCAGATTCTTAAATGAAATTAAATTATCCCATCAAATATGGCAAAGTAATTTCTATAACAATGCCTATATTGGAGAAGTAGTGAAATAAACGTAAAACAGCAGTGAATGCATTAGAGATGTTAAAATAAAAGTTTCTAGGGCATTTTACTTTCCTAACTCTGTTATATATAACAGGGAAAGTATGGCAATTGATCAAAAAATGACCCTCCCTAAGATTTTTATATTTTTTGACTTGGGACCTTGAAAACATCATGAAATGCAAAAAAATTTGGGGTATTTTTTTTCTGTATGTGTGATGTTAGTGTATGTGGGGGCACAATTTTGTTCACCTTCTTTAAAGCTAATAACTCCTCTGCTTTTTATTGAAAAATTCTGAAATTTTGCAAGGAGGTTTGTGTATTAGGTGGATTGATGCTATTAAATTTTGGTGATTAAGGTCAACGGGGTGGGGAAATAAAGGAGTGTTGTGTCATATCTTAAGTGGGGTCGCACTTAATGATGAATATATTTATTAGCATTTACAGTTGTTTATAAAATCCATTTCTCAAAATTATACATTAAACATATCCTCAAAATTAAGCTTTTTGCCATTATATAATAATAAATAATATAAAAAGTATGTTCTAAAAATAGAAAATTTTCAACCTGATGAAGGTCATTAAATATGACAAAAACATTAGTTTTTTTCAGTTTAATAAACAATTTTTGTTGCTGCAGAAGGATGGGTGTACACGATTGTGTGATGAAACTTACTTTTAGGGAAATTTCTTTATACAACATATATACAGTAAATATAATTTTTTATATCTTCAATTAATATAATTAATTAATATAATAATGATATCACAACTAAAAATTAAAATACTGTTAGTTATTAGTTAATTAAACTGTAACATGTGCCACAGTATACATGTATGTATACTGTGGTACATGTATATTTTATATTTACTGAATTAACACTGAAATAGAGTTTGTCTATAAAACATTCTAGTATTTTTGTTTATATTATCTTATATATTGTAAGATGTTACTGTAAAAATAGAATATTTATATGGATTGGGCTTATTTGATTATATCTTCACATATGTTTAATATAATTTATTACACATATGTAGAATATTATTACAATGAAAGGGTTGTCACAAACATGAAACTATTAATCTACATATGTGTAGTAAAGTTGTGTGTAATTAATTCTATGTATGCTTAATATAATACATTTGTATTAAAAATTGTAAAAAGTGGAGTAAAGGCTTATTGTTAATCTTCCTTTATGTTATATAATAAATTCTTCTGAAGATAAAAAAATCATTATTTCAGAATAAATTTATAAAATCTGAAAATGTTTAGATATAGTCAATGTTTCCTAATAGCTGGATGAAATAGTACAATAAGACCCCGCTTAACCCTGGGGATGCATTCCTAAGCACTAAACAAAACAGCATTAAACAAGGTCATTTTAACATAGAGTAAATGGGGAAAGGGGAACACACAACCAAAAATAAACAAATTTTACTTTAATTTTAAGTTATTTTTATATTAATTTACATAATATATGTTAAATAATACAGAAACATATGCACAGAGAAATGTAAAGTTCATTTTTTGTGATGAAGGTCCTGGCTCTTCTGAAATTCTTATTTTTTACGATAAAGTCGTGTAGTTTCATTTGTTGCTTGTTTTTCTTTCCTTAAGCAAATGTCAGTAGCAGAAGATTGCATCCAAAATGCCTCATCTTGCTTTTGCACTCTTTTCAAAATTTAGATCATTTGCTACAATTTGAACAATGATTTTGGTTATCCTTACCAAACTTTTTACTAAGAAAATCTGTAGAGAAAATTTTTGGGTTCTTTGTTTTCAGAATCTCTATTTTCCAGTTCTACAGGAATTCCTTGTTCTGCCAGTTCTTGAAGGTCATCGTTGGTAAGGCTCTCACCAAAAACCTGCAGTAACTCCTCAATATCCTGCTTGTCTACATCTAGTCCTGCTGTATCGATTAGGTTGACAATTTGGTTAACCTAATGATACAGCAATAGGCTCTTCCCATTGAGAATTCTTGGATACCTTCAGCCATAACTTCTTCCACATTCTGTTCATGCATTCATCAGTTAATTTTTGCCATGCAAAGTTGATATTGCCTATGGCATCCATGATGTTACATTTTTCCAAAATTGCACCAAACATAGATTTAGGCTATGAAGAATTACTACCTTTTGCTGATTGGTTCATGTTCATGAATAATCATATAATATAAATGAATCAGCAAAATACTGCAATAATTTGAATCAGTGTAAATTTTGATCTTTTTTTTTAGGCTTCAAGCAGACTATGTTATATTGAATCAGCATTAATTGAAGCAACATTAAGCACGGTCTTGCTGTATATATAAATAAAAACCAGAAAATCCAGCAAAAAATAAACTTTAATTTAGATAACTCAAATTTTTTTTAAAGTTTATTTTTTGCTGTATTTTCTGATTTTTGTGCTTAAGTAAAGATCTGAACCCGGCATAAGAGCTGACCTACATGAGGCTAAACTGATTAAACTTTCTCACCGTGTAGAACACTTACGAAACCTTGAGGCACTTGAAATTTACAAGGCCGGGTTACGCACCAATTGCATTAACTCTAATGATGCCGGTAATGTGTCACACTCTTGGAAATACTGCTATGAATGAACTAGCAATGCCCACACTAGCGGTTATAAGCCACACTTCCATTTGATGTATTTATATATGTCACTATAGGAACGTATGTATCGCATTTATGTCATTATATGTATGTCAACGTATGGATCACATATAGGTCATTATAGGAAAGTATGTATCACATTTAACATGTTGTCGACATGGCAATGCACATGCATAAGTTTTTATTCTTTTAAATTACAGTGGTACTGTTCCATTTTTTGAAAATAATTTTAGAATTTTTGTTCTATGCATTCACATGTTCGAATCTAACAGTTTTTAAACCTGAAGAAGACTGAATGTACGGTCGAAAACATTAGTTTGATATTAAATGTTTATTACTGGAATTGTAAGGTTTAGGAGTGTTAATTTAAGTAAAGATCTTTATCTTAATTGATTAGTAACATATGTGAAATATTTTATATTTGTTTGGAGTCTGTTGGAAGTTTGAATATTAATCAAAATTGCATATTTTTATTCTGGAAAATTTTTATTTTTTAACAAATTTACTTTAAATTATAAAACTTTATAAATCTTGTCATAAAAATATTTTATCATCTTTTTAGACATTTAGATGTATCACAATGTAATGAAAAACGTGGACATTATAAATACCCTAATCAAACATTAAGGCAAATTGTGGAGAGTTTACCACATTTAACATCTTTAGATATTTCTGGCACAAATCTTGCTGGAAGTGGTGTTCAAGAAAGAGAAAGTCCACAGAAAGAATCTAGGTATTTCTTATATTATTTTATTTAATGCTATTACTTGTAAATACCAGATTCAAATAAATTAATAATTTTAATTGTAATATTTTTGTATTTCTTAATATCTAAGGTACAATTTTTCAGCTTTTTAATGTATATATGTGAGGCAATCAAAAAGAAACCTGATTTTTGTCTATAATGATTTTAATACTTAACTAATTTAAATTCTTTTTAATGGCCTTTATCCCCTTCAAAGTAGTTCCTACCTATATTTATGCAGTGACCTGCTTCTGCCAAGCTTCAAATGCTCTTTTGAAACCATTGCTTTAAAAATTTCAAAGCACCTGTTGAAATTTGGATTAGATTGTCTAAACCATATTGAAATGCTTCCCTTGAGCTTCAGTTTCATTCTGGAGAACAGAAAGAATCATAAGGAGCTAAACCCATCAAATATATAGACTGGGAAGACTGTTATGTTGTTTCTCATAAAAAATGCTTGTGTGAATTGGAATACAATGCAGGAGCATTGTAATGATGAAAGAGTTAGATTTGATTCTGGCACAGTTCTGGTCTTTTGTAATCAAGATCTCTATGCAATTGTCTAAAAACATCACAGTAAAAAGTGAATTCACTGTCTGACCAGGAGGAACAAGTTTGCATTATGCAATTTCTTTATGGTTGAAAAAACTGTCAACATGCTCTTTATCGTGCTTCTGACTGGCCTTGCTTGTTTGGGTGTCAGAGATTGGTCTTGCCCATGGCTTCCAAGAACTTCTGAAGCATTTCAAGGTTCTTTGTGGCTGATTTCTCAGCTTTAATGCAAAATTTAATGTTTGCAGATACTAACACATTACAAAATCATGTATAGCAACTGTTTCAGTTTGAAAATCTCAATGTCATGTGACAGGCTGCTGCTCAAATGTCTAAGATATTTATATATTCTTGTTGGCAAAAAGACTAACTTTGCATTATTGTCAAATACTGGGAATAGTCTGATTTCTTTTTAATCATGCCATGTGTCTTTGTATATATAATACATACATACATACATACATACATACACAGTTTTTTTTAATAATTTAAGAGGAAAAATTTTCACTTATATTAATGTTTTTTGCTCATATTTGCTCATTGAATATATTAAAAAATCATTTAAAGTGGAAACCTGAAAATTTTAGCGTGATTTTAAGATCCTAATAAATTCTTATATCTTTAGTCA